CTAATCCTTCCCTGGGGGAGCCCCTCCCTAATCCTTCCCGGGGGGAGCCCCTCCCTAATCCTTCCCGGGGGGAACCCCCTCCCTAATCCTTCCCGGGGGGACCCCCTCCCTAATTATTCCCGGGGGGACCCCCTCCCTAATCCTTCCCGCGGGGGACCCCCTTCCTAATCCTTCCCGGGGGGGACCCCCTCCCTATATATTCCCGGGGGGGACCCCCTCCCTAATCCTTCCCGGGGGGGACCCCCTCCCTAATCCTTCCCGGGGGGGACCCCCTCCCTAATCCTTCCCGGGGGGGCCCCCCTCCCTAATCCTTCCCGGGGGGGACCCCCTCCCTAATCCTTCCCGGGGGGGACCCCCTCCCTAATCCTTCCCGGGGGGGACCCCCTCCCTAATCCTTCCCGGGGGGGACCCCCTCCCTAATCCTTCCCGGGGGGGACCCCCTCCCTAATCCTTCCCGGGGGGGACCCCCTCCCTAATCCTTCCCGGGGGGGACCCCCTCCCTAATCCTTCCCGGGGGGGACCCCCTCCCTAATCCTTCCCGGGGGGGACCCCCTCCCTAATCCTTCCCGGGGGGGACCCCCTCCCTAATCCTTCCCGGGGGGGACCCCCTCCCTAATCCTTCCCGGGGGGGACCCCCTCCCTAATCCTTCCCGGGGGGGACCCCCTCCCTAATCCTTCCCGGGGGGGACCCCCTCCCTAATCCTTCCCGGGGGGGACCCCCTCCCTAATCCTTCCCGGGGGGGACCCCCTCCCTAATCCTTCCCGGGGGGGACCCCCTCCCTAATCCTTCCCGGGGGGGACCCCCTCCCTAATCCTTCCCGGGGGGGACCCCCTCCCTAATCCTTCCCGGGGGGGACCCCCTCCCTAATCCTTCCCGGGGGGGACCCCCTCCCTAATCCTTCCCGGGGGGGACCCCCTCCCTAATCCTTCCCGGGGGGGACCCCCTCCCTAATCCTTCCCGGGGGGGACCCCCTCCCTAATCCTTCCCGGGGGGGACCCCCTCCCTAATCCTTCCCGGGGGGGACCCCCTCCCTAATCCTTCCCAGGGGGACCCCCTCCCTAATCCTTCCCGGTGGGGACCCCCTCCCTAATCCTTCCCAGGGGGACCCCCTCCCTAATCCTTCCCTGGGGGACCCCCTCCCTAATCCTTCCCGGTGGGGACCCCCTCCCTAATCCTTCCCGGGGGGACCCCCTCCCTAATTATTCCCGGGGGGACCCCCTCCCTAATCCTTCCCAGGGGGACCCCCTCCCTAATCCTTCCCGGGGTGGGACCCCCTCCCTAATCCTTCCCGTGGGGGACCCCCTCCCTAATTCCCGGGGGGACCCCCTCCCTAATCCTTCCCAGGGGGACCCCCTCCCTAAGACTTCCCGTGGTGGGCCCCCTCCCTAATCCTTCCCGGGGGGACCCCCTCCCTAATCCTTCCCGGGGGGGACCCCTGAAATCTGAACCAGGATCTATAATGACTCCTCTGCTTCCAGGAAATTGGGGTCCCCATCTCATCATCGTCCCCACAAGTGTCATCCTGAACTGGGAGATGGAGTTGAAGCGTTGGTGCCCCAGTTTTAAGATTCTGACGTATTATGGATCCCAGAAAGAACGCAAGCTGAAGAGACAGGTGAGGCGCCGGCCGGGGACCCGGGGGAGGGGTTGTGCAGATTCCAGGCGGGGTGGTCGTCGCTGATGGGGGGCGCATGTCTCTGACGGTGGGTGCATGTCTCTGATGGAGGGGCGCACGTCTCTGACGGTGGTGGGGGGCACGTCTCTGACCTTTGGGCGGAGGGTCACTCCCTCTGACACTTTTTCCCTCTGGCAGGGCTGGACTAAAGCCAACGCGTTCCACGTGTGTATCACATCCTACAAGTTGGTGCTACAAGACCACCAGGCGTTCCGCCGCAAGAACTGGAGATATCTCATCCTGGACGAGGCCCAAAATATCAAGAACTTCAAATCTCAGCGCTGGCAGAGCCTCCTGAACTTCAACAGGTGAGATGCACTGTGTGTAGGGAGCGCTGTGTGTGTGTGTGTGTAGGGAGCGCTGAGTGTGTAGGGAGCGCTGTGTGTGTAGGGAGCGCTGTGTGTGTAGGGAGCGCTGTGTGTGCGGCACACTCTTCCCGCACGTTGCTCAGTGTGACGTTCTCCCCAGTCAGAGACGACTGCTGCTCACCGGGACGCCGCTGCAGAACTCGCTGATGGAACTTTGGTCTCTGATGCATTTCCTGATGCCGCACGTCTTCCAGTCTCACCGCGAGTTCAAGGAATGGTTCTCCAATATTAGGGGTATCCCAACAGGTGGGAGGGGTTATATTAGGGGTATCCCAACAGGTGGGAGGGGTTATATAAGGACTACAGGTGGGAGGGGTTATATTAGGGGTACCCCTACAGGTGAGAGGGGTTATATTAGGGGTACCCCTACAGGTGGGAGGGGTTATATTAGGGTTATTTTCCTGTGTCCAATCACGGGAGGGCATTGTGTACCACATGGTCCTGTCCTCTAATGGTGTTTTGTCTTGGCAGGACGCGGGAATCGCTCGCCAGCGGCCATTTTATGAGCGTCATCAACATTCTCATGCAGCTTCGCAAAGTGTGTAACCATCCCAACCTGTTTGACCCGCGGCCAATCCACTCGCCCTTCATAACCAGCGCCATCTGCTACAGCGTCCCCTCGCTGGTGCTTCACGCTCTGCAGCGCCACCCGCTCAAGGCAGGTACCGGGCCCGGAGGGGGGGGGGGGAGATTTTGGGGTGTCATGTGACTGACCCTTCCTCTTGTATGTTTGTAGTATGTGGACACGGCTTTGTTTGACCTCGTTAACATGGAGGGCCGCGTCAGCCGCTACGAGAGTGACGTGTTCCTGTCCCGGCACAAGCCGTCCCGCCAACTTATCCAGGAGATTGCCGACTCTCCGGACCCGCCTCCTAGGCCACGCCCACTAAAGATGAAGGTGAACAGGTGCGTCTGGTGTCGGACCTTCTCCTCGTCCGTCCGCCCGCCCGTCACCTCCATGACCTCACCTCTGAGCCAGTGAGTGGCCCCGATAGGTGAGACCCCTCTAAGGAGAGCCAGTGAGTGGCCCCGATAGGTGAGACCCCTCTAAGGAGAGCCAGTGAGTGGCCCCGATAGGTGGCATTCCAGGGGACAACTGGGCACCTGCTATTGTGCTATGACAGTGAAGATGGTACAGGCTCCTCACTATGATATCACATAGGCAAGCATGCAGCCAGTGAAGTCTTCAGGTCAGGTGACTGGCTGGCTGTGAAGGTGAGATCAGGGTGAGGGCCCGGAGCCGCGCCAGGAAGGATCCTAGAGTCACATGATCTATCACATGACGCTCTGTATTCTCTCCCCGTTCCAGCGTCGCCGTTGGTCCAGCCCTCTCCGGTCGTCGTGGCGACTCCTCCAGCGACCAATGAATTGGTAAAGCCGGCTCCATTGCACAACTCCCAGCCGGTGTACAGTGGCCCCCAGCGCTTTATCCTGACCCCGGACATGCAGGCCCGCCTTCCATGTGAGTAGCCGATCCGGCCTGGGCCGTGCGAGTGCGCCGGGACTTGTGGGTAACGCTGGTCTTGTTTTTCAGCCGGAGAAGTCATCAGCCTGTCGCAATTGGCATCCCTGAGCGGACGTCCCCTCCAGAGTCCCTCCGCCAGCAAACCCCTCACACTGCAGCTTCAGGGGGCCAAACTCACCCTCAGCGGCGCTCAGGTCCGGCCCCTGAGCATCGGGCAACCTCGGCCAGTGCAGGGTGAGTAACGTTTCATGAGATCGGCTCCTGTACACATCGGGCGTGGTTCTGACCGCCGCATTTATTCTGCAGGTAATGTCCTTCACTTGGTGTCCTCCGGGGGGCAGCACCATCTCCTCAGCCAACCGGCCCAGCTTGCTTTAATCCAGGCCCTGGCACAGCAGGCGGCGGCGGCCCCGACCCCCACGGCTCAGCTCATACAGAACAGCGCGTCGGCGCAGATCGGCGTCCAGGCCATGTCTGTCCATGTCCTTCTCTCTCTCTCTCTCTCTCTCACCCCCTTCTCTCTCTCTCTCACCCCCTTCTCTCTCTCAGTAGTGTCCACTCAAGGTGTGGTGAAGATTGTGGTCAGGCAGGCACCCAGGGAGGTTCAGTCCTCTCTGCAGCGCGCTCCCCAGGTACGCCCGGTTCTCCGTGTCTTGCCCAGTCCACACCCTGAGCAGATGACCGCACGGGACGGATCGGTGGATCGGGCAGGTATGTGTTCTTTTCGGTTCTGGTTTCTATCAGGGTTTCGTCTTCTGTCTATATGCTGATCTGGATTCTCTCCCGACAGCTCCGGTTGTTGCCACTTCTACCATCACTTTGTCCTCCAGTCCTCTCCTGATGGTCTCCAGCCCAGCAGTGACCACAAGACTTCCCTCTCCCAGTCCTATAACCCCAAGTACTGACGATTCCTGCGCTCCCCCTCTGTCTGGTGTGGCCCTAAGACTTGTGGCATCGGGCACGTCCCCCACTGTACAGCTAACAAACCACCATTCCCCCCCTCCTCCTAGACATACTGTGAGTCCTGCCCTGACCAACTGCACCCCCTGCCCACCAATGAACTCCGCCCCTTCTAATTGCACTGCAACACGTGCGCTCGTTGGTTCCGACACCTCGGCCAGTCCGGTACTTGTGAAATCCTCCCAGAATCTAGACTCTGCCCCTCTGGATAGTCACCCCGTGCAGAATGGTAATGGCCTTCAGAACCAATTGGCAGACTCCATTACCAGTGTGCCGAGTACGGTGAACTCTCCTTCCCCTCCTGCCACCAACATCCCCAAAGTGTCACCCACCACTTACAACCTGAGCTTGGTACCGGCCCTCATTGCCAACGCGGCCGCCTCCAACACGGCTCGCTTTCTGACCAGTCCGCTCTCTCTCCTGGCTCTGTCTCCTCTTGCTTCTACTAACAGTGGCCCCTCACCGGTCATCTACACCCCTACCAACGCCGCGCACTTTCCAACTCTCGCTGCTCCATTGCCGGCTGCCACTGTGTCCGCCTCCTTACCATTACTGGCTGCTCCTGTGTCTGGCCAGCTGGCTTCATTTGCCGCTCCTTTACCCATTTCATCTGCTAACCAAAATACATTGTCAGCTTCTCTGACTGTGCCGCATCCTTCCATGGAGACACCATCCGCAGTCCCCCTGCCTGCTCCAACCCCAGGCCCCCTGCCAATGCTGTCTTCTCCAACCCCAGGCCCCCTGCCAATGCTGTCTTCTCCAACTTCAGCAACCCTGCTGGCAGCCACTGCTAAGCTGGAGGCGTCCAGTAACCAGCCATTACTCTTGTCTCCAGACTCGGCCTCGATGCCTCTGCTAGACACGTCTTCATCGGATACCCTTCCTCCCCTCGTACTTAACACATCTCTCAAATTACCCTCCATGGCTTCAGCTCCGGTGCAGATACTGCCGGCGCCTGGATCTAATGCAGTTCCTTTATTGGCCGCTGCATCCGGTAAACTTCCTGTCCCGTTGATCAGTGTAACGTCTGCCTCCACCAATGTGCCATTACTTCCTGCATCCACTGCCACTCGGGTATCTAATGTTCCTGTGACCACACCACCTATTCTTGCCACCACGTGCATCCCCAACCAGCCTCCTTTAGTGAGGGCCACGTCTGCTTTGGCCTCGGTAATGTTCACCACTTCTGTAACTTCAGTCACAACTCCTTCCTCAACCTTGCTCTCTACCTCTAGTTCCTTTCCCTCGTTCCTGCCGAAGCCATCGGCTCCTTTACTTACTGTACAGGTCAAAGCTCCAACTCCGCTACCATCTGGATTACTAGAAGCCCCGGTACCTATGACCTCTGTACCATGTGAGGTCCCAGCTTCATGTACCCGGACCGCTGATGCCCCAGCACCCTTACTTCCCTCGGCTGCTTTGGAGCCAGCTACGGTCTCCGCCTTACTAGCTTCAGTGCCACCCCCAAGTTCCGCTTCAACACAGCCTGCCGTGCCCACTTTACAAATCAAGGCCCCGACTCCCCTGCCTTCTTTACCGGCCTCCACAATGACTCCATCGATGCCAGCCTCTGCTCCTGCTCCTCTCCCATCATTGCCAGCCTCAACTCCTATTCCCTTACCTTTGCTAACAGCCTCCACCCCTACCCCAGTGTCCTCTCTGCCAGGCTCCTCACCAGACCCTTCACCGTTGTTACCGGTGTCGGCACCGGCCCAAGCGCCTGACTTATCTTCTCCCATTCTGGCTCCTTCTGTGGACCATGCTCGCGTCTCACTGCTGCCTTCCTCTGGCCCCAGTCCCTTGGTCATCTCTGTGTCCGCTCCCTTAACGCTAGCCGCTTCATCACCTTCCTTAGTGCTTTCTGCACCCTCTCGCCTACCTCTTCTCTCTTCCCAACCGCTGGCTCCATCTTGTGCTGTGGATGCAAAGCCCTCCGGGATAACGGTTCCCAAACCATCACCCTCCACCTTATCAGCCTCCCCCCTGCCCCCCTCCCATACCAGCTCACCAGACATTGCCTCTACACTTCCCACACAAGAATCTAAGAGTTTCCCCGAGTCCTCTCTGTCCCTGTCCATTGCTGGTCCTCCGCCAGTCAGTGTCACCTTCAGTACAGCCTCGGAGTCTGAGATCACACTGGAAGGAGAGGAGTCCCGCGTCACTTACAGCTCTACCACAAACACATCTGTGAGGCCCAGACGGCTGCTGCCCCCGCCACCCCGCTCTCCTTTTTACTTGGTAAGAAATATTCCCGGTGTATTTACTATCCCTGATCCTGTCCAAGGGAAGATGTCATTTCTTGTGTGTGTTCTCCTCCCCTCAGGAGCCCCTGGAGGAGCAACGTAAAAAGCAGAAGATTGAGCGATTGGAAAGGATTTTCCACCTGAATGAAAGACGATGCGCTCTGTCTCCGCTGTACGGCACCGAGATCCTCAGCCTGTGCACCTTACAGAAGTCATTTGGGGACACCTTGAGAAGTTGTATCTTCACGCCAGAACAACGGCTGGAGCAGCTACGCCCCATTATCGAGAGGTACAAAAAGGGTTGCAGTGGGATGTGGTGTCATGGTACGGTGGTTGGAGTGGGGAGTGGGGTCATGGTACGGTGGTTGGAGTGGGGTCATGGTACGGTGGTTGGAGTGGGGTCATGGTACGGTGGTTGGAGTGGGGTCATGGTACGGTGGTTGGAGTGGGGTCATGGTACGGTGGTTGGAGTGGGGTCATGGTACGGTGGTTGGAGTGGGGTCATGGTACGGTGGTTGGAGTGGGGTCATGGTACGGTGGTTGGAGTGGGGTCATGGTACGGTGGTTGGAGTGGGGTCATGGTACGGTGGTTGGAGTGGGGTCATGGTACGGTGGTTGGAGTGGGGTCATGGTACGGTGGTTGGAGTGGGGTCATGGTACGGTGGTTGGAGTGGGGTCATGGTACGGTGGTTGGAGTGGGGTCATGGTACGGTGGTTGGAGTGGGGTCATGGTACGGTGGTTGGAGTGGGGTCATGGTACGGTGGTTGGAGTGGGGTCATGGTACGGTGGTTGGAGTGGGGTCATGGTACGGTGGTTGGAGTGGGGTCATGGTACGGTGGTTGGAGTGGGGTCATGGTACGGTGGTTGGAGTGGGGTCATGGTACGGTGGTTGGAGTGGGGGGTCACGGTACGGTGGTTGGAGTGGGGTGTCACGGTACGGTGGTTGGAGTGGGGTGTCACGGTACGGTGGTTGGAGTGGGGTGTCACGGTACGGTGTATGGAGTTTGGGTCTCACCGGCATCTTCTGCCTCTTGCCAGGTTTATAATCGCCATGCCTCCCGTGGAGGCCCCGCAGATCACTTTGCACACCTCGCACCCTCCCCCATCCATGCTTCTTCAGGAGTCCATGTTCAGAGAGACCTTGTCCCAAGAGCTGACACCCCACACTCGCTGTCTGCACCGTATCATCTCCAACATGAGGACGCAGTTTCCAGACCTCCGGCTCATCCAGTACGACTGCGGTGAGTATTACACCGACCTGCGTGGTCCGCGCCACGTCCGGAACCTTTCTAACCATGAATGTCACCAACAGGAAAGTTACAGACTCTGCACCGCTTGCTGCGCGACCTGAAGTCTGGCGGCCATCGCGTCCTCCTCTTCACTCAGATGACCCGAATGTTGGATGTGCTGGAGCAATTCCTCAACTACCACGGACACATCTACTACCGGAGGTCCCACCCATTGTGTACCGGAGGTCCCACCCATTGTGTACCGGAGGTCCCACCCCTCCCATTCTACTTTCTAGTTAGAGGGGGAACAAGTATTTGAATATGGGGGTGGGGTTTAATCTGCTCCGCCCCTTCTTGGTCTCCCCTAATCTCGGTCTCTCTATCTTCAGGTTTTGATGGAACGGTTTAACATGGACCGGCGCATTTTCTGTTTCATTTTGTCGACGCGCAGTGGGGGTGTGGGGGTCAATCTGACGGGGGCAGATACAGTCATCTTCTATGACAGCGACTGGAATCCCACTATGGACGCTCAAGCTCAGGACCGCTGTCACCGCATTGGCCAGACACGGGATGTACACATATACAGGTAATCACATGTGACGTGTATAGGTCACGGAGTCCGTTCTCATTATCCTAAGCTCCACCCCCTCCTAGAACATCTCCTCCCATCATTCCTCTCTTCCTTGTTCCAGGCTGGTGAGCGAGCGGACGGTGGAGGAGAACATCCTGAAGAAGGCTCAGCAGAAGCGCATGTTGGGTGACATGGCCATTGAAGGTGGAAACTTCACCACGGCATATTTCAAGCAGGTACGTCTCTGGACTATTGAGCGGTATGTGATCCCGGTAATGTCCTGTT